CTGCCTGTCCTGGGTGGTGCTGAACGCAATCTGTGTGGCACTGGGGCCCAGACCAATGTACTGGGATGCAGTATAAGGGCCCCTGGCAGTATACTAGTATTGTGGGGTCCCCAGCTTGTGTACTGAAATGCAGTACAGTGGCCCCTGGCACTTCATTGATGGAGTGTGGTGTGGCCCCTGTGTATACTCTATGATATATGATGGTGGAGGAGCTGTCCACCTGGGTGGTGCTGAACTCAATCTGTGTGTAGTAGGATGCAGTACAAGGGCCCCTGACAGTATACTGGTATGGTGGGGCCCCAGACTGGTACATTGGTATGCAGTACAGGGGCCCGAACAGTACAGTATACTGGTATAGGGGGTCCCTATCCATTGTACAGGGCCCTGATATTATAATAGTGGGGCCCCTGTGTATACACATGTATGATGATGGAGGAGCTGTCCGCCTGGGGTGGTGCTGAACTCATGTTGTGCCGTGTTGGGGCCCCTGCTGATGTATTGTGATTTAGTACAGGGGCCCCTGGCACTATGCTGGCGTGGTGTGGCCCCTGTATAAAGGAGGAGTGTCTGTATGATGGGGGAGGAGCTGTCCCTCCTGGGTGGTGCTGAATTCAGTCTGTGCAATGTCAGGGGCCCGGACTGATGTACTGGGATGCAGTACAGGGGTCCCTTGCCGTATGCAGGTGCGGTGGGGCCCCTGCTAATATAACAGAATGCAATACAGGGGCCCTGGCAGTATACTGGTATGGTGGGGCCCCTGTGAATACACTATGGTGTCTGTATGATGGGGGGGGAGATGTCCGCCTGGGTGGTGCTGAAGTTGCTCTGGGTATGGTGGGGCCCCTGTGCAGCGTTGTGGCCCAGACTGATCTACTGGAACACAGTACAGGGGCCCCTAGCAATATACTGGTGTAGTGGGGCCCCAGCTAGTGAAACAGTATACAGTACAGGGGCCCATTGAAATGCACTGGTGTGTTGGGGCCGCAAGCTGGAGGTATTATAGTAGTGGGGCCCCTGGCAGTGTACCGGTATGGTGGGGCCCCTGGCAGTATACCAGTATGGTGGGGCCCCTGTGTGTACACTATGGTGACTGTATGATGGGGAGGAGCTGTCCACCCGGGTGGTACTGAAGCTGCTCTGGGTATGGTGGGGCCCCTTGAAGTGTACTGCATTGTGGGGCCCTGCTAGTGTAATAGGCTGCAGCACAGGGGCCCATTGAAATGTAGCAGTGTGTTGGGGCCCCAGGCTGGTGTATAGTGGGGCCCCTCTATGATATGCAGTATGGGTCCCTCCTGGTGGTGCTGAACCTTCTCTATGCCATACTGGGGCCCCTACTGGGGTACTGGGATGATGTGTTAGGGCCCCTACTGGGGTACTGGGATGCTGTGTTGGGGCCCCTGTTAGTCTGCTGGTATAATGGGGCCCCTGCTGGTGTTCTGGAATGCAGTCCAGGGGCCCCTGCTGGTGCACACTCAGGGCCCCTGGCAGTACACTAGATCGGAGGGGCCCCTGGCCGGTGTAGGAGGGGCCCCTGTGTAGGAGGGAGAGGGAGGATGTCTCACCTGGCGGGCCCCGGGCTCGGTGGTGCTCCTCCCCCTCCTCTCGGTACCGGCTCGGTGGGGGGTCTCGGTGCCCCGGCAGGTCCTCCCCCGGGTTCCCCGGACTCCAGGCTGGCCTCGTTCCCCATCGCTGTGCCGATCCGGGACAACCGAGATCAGATCCGCCCGACCTCCGCCATCAGCTCCGTGCGCGCCCCCGACACAGACTCTCTGCGCGGCCCTGGACACTGCGTCACGTGTCCTCCCCTCCGCTCCTCCCACATCTGTACAAGGGGGAATGAATACAATGAATATATCAATGTATCAGAATAGTGTGATATCCGCTGTATACAATACAATGGAGTGTGTATCAGTATGGAGTGTGATATCCGCTGTATACAATGTATCAGTATGGAGTGTGATATCCGCAATGTATACAATGTGTGATCAGTATGGAGTGTATCAGTATGGATGTGATATCCGCTGTATACAATGTATCAGTATGGAGTGTGATATCCGCTGTATACAATGTATCAGTATGGAGTGTGATATCCGCTGTATACAATGTATCAGTATGGAGTGTGATATCCGCTGTATACAATGTATCAGTATGGAGTGTGATATCCGGTGTATACAATCAGTATGTGTGATATCAGTATCAGTGTGTGATATCCGGTGTATACAATGTATCAGTATAGTGTGATATCCGTATATACAATGTATCAGTATAGTGTGATATCCAGTGTATACAATGTATCAGTATGTGATATCAGTATATCAGTGTGATATCCAGTATATACAATGTATCAGTATAGTGTGATATCCAGTATATATCAATGTGTGATCAGTATATAGTGTATCAGTATGTGATATCCGGTATATACAATGTATCAGTATAGTGTGATATCCGGTGTATACAATGTATCAGTATGGAGTGTGATATCCGTATATACAATGTACAATGTAATCAGTATAGTGTGATATCCGGTATACAATGTATCAGTATAGTGTGATATCCGGTATACAATGTATCAGTATAGTGTGATATCCAGTATATACAATGTATCAGTATAGTGTGATATCCGGTATATACAATGTATCAGTATATAGTGTGATATCCAGTAGTGTATAGTGTGATATCCGCTGTATACAATGTATCAGTATGGAGTGTGATATCCGTATATACAATGTATCAGTATAGTGTGATATCCGGTATATACAATGTATCAGTATAGTGTGATATCCGTATATACAATGTATCAGTATAGTGTGATATCCAGTGTATACAATGTATCAGTATGGAGTGTGATATCCGGTATATACAATGTATCAGTATAGTGTGATATCCGGTATATACAATGTATCAGTAGTGATATCCAGTGTGATGATATCCGTATATACAATGTATCAGTATGGAGTGTGATATCCGTATATACAATGTATCAGTATAGTGTGATATCCGTGTATATACAGTATGTATCAGTATGTATCAGTATGTGGAGTGTGATATCCGGTATATACAATGTATCAGTATAGTGTGATATCCGGTTATATACAATGTATCAGTATGGAGTGTGATATCCGGTATATACAATGTATCAGTATGGAGTGTGATATCCGTGTATATACAATGTATCAGTATGTGTGTATCCAGTATATACAATGTATCAGTATAGTGTGTATCCAGTATATATACAATGTATCAGTATGGAGTGTGATATCCGGTATACAATGTACAAGTATGGAGTGTGATATCCGCTGTATACAATGTATCAGTATGGAGTGTGTGATCCCGCTGTATACAATGTATCAGTATGGAGTGTGATATCCGCTGTGTATCAATGTATCAGTATGGAGTGTGATATCCGGTATACAATGTATCAGTATGGAGTGTGATATCCGGTATATACAATGTATCAGTATGGAGTGTGATATCCGGTATATACAATGTATCAGTATGGAGTGTGATATCCGGTATATACAATGTATCAGTATGGAGTGTGATATCCGGTATACAATGTATCAGTACAATATCCGTATCAGTATCAGTGTGAGTGTGATATCCGGTATATACAATGTATCAGTATGGAGTGTGATATCCGGTATACAATACAATGTATCAGTGTGATATCCGGTATATACAATGTATCAGTATAGTGTGATATCCAGTATATACAATGTATCAGTATAGTGTGATATCCAGTGTATACAATGTATCAGTATGGAGTGTGATATCCGGTATATACAATGTATCAGTATGGAGTGTGATATCCGGTATATACAATGTATCAGTATGGAGTGTGATATCCGGTATATACAATGTATGGAGTATACAATGTGTGTATGTGTGATATCCGGTATATACAATGTATCAATGTGTGATATCAGTATATACAATGTATGTATGTGTGATATCCGTATATACAATGTATCAGTATAGTGTGATGTGCATATCCGTATATACAATGTATCAGTATAGTGTGATATCAGTATATACAATGTATCAGTATAGTGTGATGTGCAGTATACAATGTATCAATGTATCAGTATAGTATCAGTATGGTGCCGGTATATACAATGTATCAGTATAGTGTGATATCAGTATATACAATGTATCAGTATAGTGTGATGTGCAGTATATACAATGTATCAGTATAGTGTGATGTGCAGTATATACAATGTATCAGAAATATGTATTCCAGATAGTTCACTTTAGTGCCACATTTTGTGTATAGTGTTTCAGCCTTATTGTACATATCAATAGTGCAATAACAGTCCGTGTGAATGAACAGACAATGTACCAATGTATCAGTATGCCTATTCCAGGTATGTAATGTGATGTCATTGTTTCAATGTATCACATAGTCTGATGTGCAGTATATACACGATCCCCATACATGACAGTACGGGTGATGTGAGTATCAGTATAGTGTGATGTGCGTTCAATGTAAGTCAATGTATCAGTGAAAAAGTTTACTTTTGCCAATTTAAATGTTTCAGCCTTATTACAATCAATAAATAACTCCCCAAGTACCGGCCTTATTCCAGTGGAATGAACTCATTGTTTCCTCCACATTCTACACACGATCCCCATAATGACAGGGAAGGAGTTCGTTCTGAAATTTTATTAAAAATATAAAAAACGAAAGAACCCCCTCCCCCCCATGTACATTCCCAGCCTTTGCCATCATGCTCTGGTGCCTCCTGTTCCCACTGATCATCCTTGAGATGTTTCCACAACTTGATTGGAGTCCACCTGTGGGACATTCAGTGATTGGAGTCCACCTGTGGGACATTCAGTTGATTGGAGTCCACCTGTGGGAAATTCAGTGGATTGGAGTCCACCTGTGGGACATTCAGGGCGGATTGGAGTCCACCTGTGGGACATTCAGTTGATTGGAGTCCACCTGTGGGACATTCAGGGGATTGGAGTCCACCTGTGGGACATTCAGTTGAGGAGTCCACCTGTGGGACATTCAGCGATTGGAGTCCACCTGTGGGACATTCAGCGGATTGGAGTCCACCTGTAGGACATTCAGCGGATTGGAGTCCACCTGTGGGACATTCAGTTGATTGGAGTCCACCTGTGGGACATTCAGCGGATTGGAGTCCACCTGTGGGAATTCAGCGGATTGGAGTCCACCTGTGGGACATTCAGTTGATTGGAGTCCACCTGTGGGACATTCAGCGGATTGGAGTCCACCTGTGGGACATTCAGCGATTGGAGTCTACCTGTGGGACATTCAGAGGATTGGAGTCCACCTGTGGGACATTCAGCGGATTGGAGTCCACCTGTGGGACATTCAGCGGATTGGAGTCCACATTCAGCGGATGTGTGGGACATTCAGGGGATTGGAGTCCACCTGTGGGACATTCAGCGGATTGGAGTCCTGTTGTGGGACATTCAGCGGATTGGAGTCCACCTGTGGGACATTCAGCGGATTGGAGTCCACCTGTGGGACATTCAGCGGATTGGAGTCCACCTGTGGGACATTCAGCGGATTGGAGTCCACCTGTGGGACATTCAGCGGATTGGAGTCCACCTGTGGGACATTCAGTGGATTGGAGTCCACCTGTGGGACATTCAGCGGATTGGAGTCCACCTGTGGGACATTCAGCGGATTGGAGTCCACCTGTGGGACATTCAGCGGATTGGAGTCCACCTGTGGGACATTCAGTTGATTGGACATGATAAGGAAAGGCATAAACCTGTCTATAGAAGGTCCCACAGGTAGCAGAGCATGTCAGAACACAAACCAAGCCATGAAGTCCAAGGAATTGTCCTAGACCTCTGAGAGAGGATTGTATCAAAGCACAGATCTGGGGAAGGGTACAGAAACATTTCTGCAGCATTGAAGGTCCCAATGAGCACAGTGGCCTCCATCATCCGTAAATGAAGAAGTTTGGAATCACCGGGAATCTTCCTAGAGTGGGCTGCCTAGCTAGAGATCGAGGGAGAAGGCCTTAGCCAGGGAGGTAACCAAGCACCCGATGGTCACTCTGAAAGAGCTGTCAGTGGAGAGAGGAGAACCTTCCAGAAGAACAACCATCTCTACAGCACTCCACCAATCAGGCCTGTATGGTACAGTGGCCATTCAGAAGCCACTCCTCAGTAAAAGGCAAATGGCAGCCCGCCTGGATTGCCAAAAGGCACCTGAGGGACTCTCAGACCATGAGAAACAAAACTCTCTGGTCTGATGAAACAAAGATTGAACTCTTTGGCCTGAATGCCAAGCGTCATGTCTGGAGGAAACCAGGCACCGCTCCCTACCTGGCCAATACCATCCCTACAGTGAAGCATGGTGGTGGCAGCATCATGCTGTGGGGATGTTTTTCAGCAGCAGGAACTGGGAGACTAGTCAGGATTGAAGGAAAGATGAATGTACAGAGACATCCTTGGTGAAAACCTGTTCCCGAGCACTCTGGACCTTAGATTGGGGCGATGTTTCGTCTTTCAACAGGACAACGACTCTAAGCACACAGCCCACATAACAAAGGAGTGGCTACGGGCCAACTCTATGAATGTCCTGGAGTGGCCCAGCCAGAACCCAGACTTGAACCTGATTGAACATCTCTGGAGAGATCTGAAAATGGCTGTGCACCAACGCTCCCCATCCAACCTGATGGAGCTTGAGAGGTCCTGCAAAGAACGGGAGAAATTGCCCAAAAATAGGTGTCCAGGCTTGTAGCATCATACTCCAATGACTCGAGGCTGGAATGGGGGCTAAAGGGGCTTCAACAAAGGATGGATCAAAGGCTGGGAATACTTATGTACATGGGGGGAGGGTTTTTTTTTTGTTTTTTATTTTTAATAAATTTCAAAGATTTCAAAACAAACTTCTTTCCCGTTGTCATTATGGGGGATTGTTTGTAGAATGTTGACGAAAAAATGAGTTTAATCCATTTTGGAATAAGGCTGTAACAACACAATGTGGCAAAAGGTAATCGCTGGGAATACTTTCTGGATGCGCTGTATACACGGCTCACAAAATGGAAGGAAGACTTTGAAAATCCATCAGATCTCAATGGGGAGGAATCTCCTGCTGGATCTCTATACTGACATGGACGGGGGATGGGTGAGGAACGTACAGTTACAAGAAAAAGTATGTGAACCCCTTGGGATTACGTGGAGTTTTGCGTGAATTGGACATAAAATGTGCTCTGAACGTCATCTAAGTCACAACAATAGAAGAACACAGTCTGCTGAACATAATACTACACAAACATTAGATGTTGCCATGGTTTAATTGCACATAACATGTAAACATTCACAGTGCAGGGAGGAAAAAGTATGTGAGGCCCTAGCTTAATGACTTCTCCCAGAGCTAATTGGAGCCAGGAGTGAGCCAACCTTGACTCCAATCAGTGTGATGATATTGGATGTGTTGCTGACACCCGTTTTGGGTTTACTGGTTTCAACAAGCACTGTCTGATGTGAACCATGCCTCGCAGAAAAAAAGAGCTCTCAGAAGACCTACGATCAAGAATTGTTGAGTTGCATGAAGCTGAAAAAGGGTTACAAAAGTATCTCCAAAAGCCTTGATGTTCATGTGTCCACGGTAAGACAGACTGTCTACAAATGGAGAAAGTTTAGCACTGTTGCTACTCTCCCTAGGCGAGGTCGTCCTGTAAAAATGACTGCAAGAGCACAGCGCAGAATGCTGCATGAGGTAAAGAAGAATCCCAGAGCATCAGCTAAAGACCTACAGAAATCTCTGGCACATGCTAACATTTTTGTTGACACATCTACAATAAGGAAAACATTATACAAGAATGATAAAAGAAAAGTAGGTGCAGCGCTAAAAGCAAAATAAAATATTTCTCTGTAGGATAAATATATAAATATCAGTGGTCAAACAGATATACCACAAGGTGAATAGTGCATTGAGTCTATAAAGGGTGCTGAGAGCACGTACAAAGTTCTCATCCCAGGGTGATGGTAGTAAAAGGTAGAGGGAATCCTGGAAAACAGATAGAGTGCGCACTCACCAGAAGTGCGTTAAAATAACGCATGTAAGGAAGTAGCTGCTGCAAGATCTCTCCAGCATCAGGGATCTGGTCAGGTCGCACTGCGTCCTATCCACTGTCTCACCACAAGAAGAGGTGGCCAAGTAGCATCCGAACGTGTGAGCGTCAGGGAACTCCTTGGTCCAAAGAAGTGCTGTGGGAGATGGTGCTCTCATAGAGAGCCCAATGAAGGACGCCACATGGTGTAATATTGTTTGACTTGCGTTTAATAGTCAAAAAAAGGGGGGTAAACAAAAAAGTACTGACCATAAGTAGTAGGCCACATATAGTGGCTAGAAGTCCATAAGCTGTAGCCCCCTGACGCGTTTCGTGCGATGCACGTCCTCAGAGGGTCAGGGCTTACTTATGGTCAGTACTTTTTTGTTTACCCCCCTTTTTTTGACTATTAAACGCAAGTCAAACAATATTACACCATGTGGCGTCCTTCATTGGGCTCTCTATGAGAGCACCATCTCCCACAGCACTTCTTTGGACCAAGGAGTTCCCTGACGCTCACACGTTCGGATGCTACTTGGCCACCTCTTCTTGCGGTGAGACAGTGGATAGGACGCAGTGCGACCTGACCAGATCCCTGATGCTGGAGAGATCTTGCAGCAGCTACTTCCTTACATGCGTTATTTTAACGCACTTCTGGTGAGTGCGCACTCTATCTGTTTTCCAGGATTCCCTCTACCTTTTACTACCATCACCCTGGGATGAGAACTTTGTACGTGCTCTCAGCACCCTTTATAGACTCAATGCACTATTCACCTTGTGGTATATCTGTTTGACCACTGATATTTATATATTTATCCTACAGAGAAATATTTTATTTTGCTTTTAGCGCTGCACCTACTTTTCTTTTATTATGACTATTGCAAGGAGGATTGGTTGCCTTTTTGGTGTTCTAGCTGCTTGTGCTCTTGTACCTGTAGCGCTCGCTATACTTTTTTTCACACATTATACAAGAATGGAGTACATGGGAGGACACCACGGAGGAAGCCATTGCTGTCCAAAAAGAATATTGCAGCACGTTTGAAGTTTGCAAAAGAGCACCTGGATGTTCCACAGCACTACTGGCAAAATATACTGTGCACAGATGAAACCAAGATTGAGTTGTTTGGGGAGAACACACAACACTATGTGTGGAGAAAAAAAAGGCACAGCACACCAACATCAAAACCTCATCCCCACTGTGAAACATGGCGGAGGGAGCATCATGGTTTGGGGCTGCTTTGCTGCCTCAGGGCCTGGACGGATTGTTGTCATTGATGGGGAAAATGAATTCCAGAGTTTATCAAGACATTTTGCAGGAAAACGTACGACCATCTGTCCGCCAACTGAAGCTCCGCAGAGGATGGGTGATGCAACAGGACAATGACCCAAAGCATACAAGTAATTCAACAAAACAATGGCTGCAACAGCCCAGAATACACCTTCTGGAGTGGCCCAGTCAGAGTCCTGACCTCAACCCCATTGAAATGCTGTGGCTTGACCTTAAGAGAGCGATTCACACCAGACATCCCAAGAATATTGCTACACTGAAACAGTTTTGTGAAGAGGAGTGGTCCAAAATGACTCCAGATCGTTGTGCAGGTCTGATCTGCAACTACAGGAAACGTTTGGTTGAGGTTATTGCTGCCAAAGGAGGGTCAACCAGTTATTAAGTCCAAAGGTTCACATACCTTTTTCCTCCCTGCACTGTGAATGTTTACATGTTATGTGCAATTAAACCATGGCAACATCTAATGTTTGTGTAGTATTATGTTCAGCAGACTGTGTTCTTCTATTGTTGTGACTTAGATGACGTTCAGAGCACATTTTATGCCCAATTCATGCAAAACTCCACGGAATCCCAAGGGGTTCACATACTTTTTCTTGCAGCTGTACAATGTATCAGTGTGGAGTGTGATATCCGGTATATACAATGTATCAGTGTGTGTGTCTGTACTGTATATGTATACACCAGGGGCGGACTGACCATTCGGAAACTCGAGCAATGCCCAAGGACCCGGGTCAGTAGGGGGCCCCATGAGATGCCCCTGGTACCTTTTTCATAGGCTTTTTTGAGTTTGGGCAAGGACACAGGGGCCCCATGATCCGCTATTGCTCGGGGGGCCCCATGAGTTGTCAGTCTGCCCCTGGTATACACTGTGTGCATTATTGTATATAGTGTGTATTAGATGTGTGCAGAACTAAAAACATTTGTTTAGATTCATCACGTAAATAATTTTGTTTTGTTAAATTTGCTTAATTCATTTTCAGATTTTGTTTTCGTTTTCTAATTCGATTTGAATACAGTTCAACCAAATTCAGAAAATTCGCATTTGAATTAGAATTGATATTCAAATTCTAATTTATTCTATTTGAATTTCAGAAGACAGTTCTATTTTCTTTTATTGTCTTTTCTATTCTACTCTATTCTATTCAAATTCTTTCTATTTTATTCTATTCCATTTTTATTTTATCCTATTCTATTCTTTTCTCTTCTATTCTATTCAAATTTATTCTATTTGAAAATTGAATTTCAGAAGACAGTTATATTCTATTTTATTGTTTTTTTTCTATTCTTTTTCTGTTCTATTCAATTTGATTCTTTTCTATTCCATTCAGATTTATTCTATTAAAAATTTTAATTTTCAGAAGACAGTTATATTTTTTCTATTTTATTCTATTCT